TCTCGAGCAAGTTATAAACTTGTCTATCACTTGTAACATGAATGGGAGGGGTGTCTGGAGCCATCATCATTTCTGCTGGTAATGAGTATCTAATCTCCACAGTGACTGTGCTCATGTCCAGGTTATAATCTTCTTGTGCCATTGCAACAAGTTCAGCATGTGTTGAATCTTCATTCAATAAAAACAATCTTGCTCCTTTAAGATCATCAACCACAAAATCCCAACGGCAATCTTTCAACAACCATTCTCCATACACTGCATGTAACTGACGAATCATCTGCAAAAATTCAAAATAAAACACATTAGTAAACATAGAGAATTTCATGAAAGTTTACTAAACATCGTCTGAACGACATACCAGTAAGTCGTCCGGACGACTTACCCGTAAGTCGTTCGGACGACTTACTTCTAAGTCGCCCATTGAGGTCATTTTTGCAATTGAAATTTAAATGGGACGACTTACTTCTAAGTCGTCCAGCTTTGTTTGTTAAAAAAAAAACTCCAGACGACTTAATTATAAGTCATCTAGATAAAACGGTCTACTTTTGCTTTTGACCGAATTGTGTCAGATATTTAACTTTTTCTGGACGACTTAAAATTAAGTCATCCCTGGGAAAGTTAAAATTTCAATATTTTATTAAATCTAGACGACTTAATTATAAGTCGTCTCAGGTTAGTTTTGCAATTCAAAAATAAAACTTAAAATTTTAACTTCTCCAGACGACTTAATTAGAAGTCGTCTGATCAGACGACTTATGTTAAAGTCGTCCAGAATAAACAAGGTTTGACTAGAAAACTCGAAAAATATTCTGGACGACTTTGATTATCCTGGACGACTTTAATCTAAGTCGTCTGAGCTGTCGACTTTTAATTAAGTCGTCTGGAGAAGTTAAAAATTTAAGTTTTATTTTTGAATTGCAAAACTAACCTTAGACGACTTATCCGTAAGTCGTCTAGATTTAATAAAATATTGAAATTTTAACTTTCCCAGGGACGACTTAATTTTAAGTCGTCCAGAAAAAGTCAAATATCTGACACAATTCGGTCCAAAGCAAAAGTAGACCGTTTTATCTAGACGACTTATAATTAAGTCGTCTGGTGTTTTTTTTTAACAAACAAAGCTGGACGACTTAGAAGTAAGTCGTCCGTTTGACCAGAAGACTTATCCGTAAGTCTTCTACATCCAGAAGACTTATCGAGTAAGTCTTCTACGCGAAGAGATCTGGAAAAAAATTCAATTTCAAACCTTAAACTAGGTGAGATGACTTCCTTTGCACACATAGTCTTCTCCAACCACCCAGAACATTGAACGAAAGTAACCCACCAACAATTGTATGCTTAAATGGCTCTATCAACCATAAAAAAATTGCTATCAAAAGCTTGAGTTTTTGGTATGAATATGGAGACAAAGTGAAGGAGAGGTTGTTTTTAGCTCATAACAATTGAGAAAGAGAGTATGAGTATCGATTTTAAGTTCATTAAAAGCTTCAAACCTTGGTTGTACAAGGTTGTTGGGTTGTACAAGGTTGTTGGGAGTATTCATGGCAATGGCAATGTTATAAATACTCGAAGATGATGAGGTTGAGAGAGTAAAAATGCCATTTTCGAAAAAAAGTAAAAAAAATAATTTAAAGGCATTTTCGTAAATAAAATGAAGATGTGGGGTGGATAGGACAAAAACAAGATGAGTTAAAAGAAGAAGTTAGTTTTGTGTTTGACCATGAGTTTTGAGTCAAATTTGCAAAAACCCCTAAAAATAACTCTGATTTTAGGTTGCTATTAAGTATTGAACATATTTTTAACGATAATGTTGAACCTATTATGATTTTTCTATCGATTATTAAATCTTCTCACATGTTTTATTTAAGTTTTAGCAAGGTTGATGATATTATGAGAATGAAAATGAGTTTTATTATCTTCATTGGATTATAAAGAAACGAATGTACCAAATATTTGATGAATTTTCAGAAGAAAAAGATAACACTGAAAATATGACTTGAACCAAATTGTGTCTTGTTGGATGCCTCTTTATACATCAAATAAGTCTTATCCTCCCCCAATAACATAATAAAAAAAACAGCAAATTTCCTCTTTTAAGCACCAAATTTTGTCTTGTTGGATTACGGGTTATATCCAGAATACTGTCTGTATCACTTGCTATTCGAAAAGTGAGAAGGGTCTCTCATTTCTCGTTGTTGGTCTTGTCCTGCGGATGAGGAACCAAATGCGTTTGGTACGGTGGGAGTAACAAGCACAGCTGTGGACGTTTCTTGCTTCTTCAAAGATGGGTTTGTGATCAATGGCCAGAAACTACCAATCACAACCTATAAAAATGTAGCATAATATAAGAACTTATTATGTTACAACATTACAAAGAAGATGCTATTCTTTTGTTCTTACTTGGACCGGACTTGCTGCAGTGAGTCTACCGACTAAACTACCACTAAAGACACAACCATCAACTCCACCAATCGTAATGTGCCACCCTCCTGTCTCATTTCTCACTCTTCCACTTTCAGTTATCTCCTTTTTATTGGTCAGCGATATTATCTCATAACAGTCCTGCACCAAATTGTTATCATCATCCTATAGATCATACCTAAAACCTATGGTTTACGAGGATCTTTACATTTTAAAAACATTATATTCTCATGTTCAGACACTATCTATACACTAGTTAAGTTTCAAGAATCCAGTTTAGACTGCAAGACCGAGTTCATTATTTTTACCTTGAACACCAGGACTCTTCTGTTAGAGTCAAGCGGTTGAATCATGAGATTAACAACCACACCGGTTGCTGACAAAACGCAGATCCCACGAGAACCATTCTGCGTGAAGGACATTATCTTCTCGATGATATCCTGTAAAGTGACCATAAAATACAAAATATAACCATCGCATCTTCAATACATAATATTCATGTGCGACGAAGACATATCATATCAGCTCATTATTCATTGTTAAACAAATTCATTCGATAAACCACACCCTAGTCAAAATTTGCCATTCACTATTTTGTATTTATTTTTTTATCTTAAAATGTTTCGATTTATTTTTTTTACATTAAACATATTTAATAGTATATATTAACTATATTTTAATCTATTGTACTAGTCAATGTTAAAATTTATTGAATTTATTTGCATAAACTATATTTTTAATCTTGAAATTTTTACCATATTTTCATTAAAAAACAAACTATAATTCTACAACATCACACTGAATTAAAGGAGGTGTGTTATACGTACCTCTCGGGATTAATCATGAGCATATGTGCCTTGAAGTCACCTCCTTCAAGTCTCCTAGTCGGATCAGCTTCAAGTCCAAAACACGTTCATAGTTTACCACATGTATATATATTTTTTATCTGAACTCTATTGTGTGAAAACAAATATTGTTTTCATCCATAGAATATTAAATATGTATTATGATTCCTATAGTGTTTTCAATTGATTTCTCTATAGGTATAATATATATTGGCAATGAGCAATTTTCCTAAGACCAAATGTACGAAAGATAAATAGTTTCCCAATGATTTCCACTAATTGAACGTAACCATATTCCATATACATATTCAGGCCTGTAAATATTCATAACCGTATCCACATTCATATTAATATTCATATCCATATCCAAATCTATAGTCCATGTCTCTTTCAGCATAAACGATCGAATGGTTATAGTTATTCCAACTAAGAGATCTCAGATTTTTACCTCTTCCCATACTCAACGACCTCATCATCGAGGATCCCTCCTGTGTTCCAGACGTTATGATCGACTTCCCTTTGGGATAGTACAGCCAGGGACTCTGCACCGACGTATTGTCCCCTTTGGTCTCCTCCTCCACCGAGGGAGAGTCAGAACTTGAGTCAGACATTGAGAAATAATTGGGGCTCTCGTTGAGATCCATAGTATGTATATATAGTTTGAATGTGAGAGGTAATGTGAAAGATTGAGACTTTATAAAGTCCCTTATATGACCATGAAAAATGGGGAAAATATCTTTATAGTTTTTAAAAAATATTGTTTAAATTTTTTCTTTTAAATAACTTTTAACACCTGTGTCATTTTCTAGAAATGTATAAATGAAATCTTGAACTTATGTGTGTATATACGTCATTATGTGTGTGAATGCATCTATACTAAATAGGTAATATATAATAGAAATGATATAAAGTAAATTTTGTCTTGACTTTTTAAGATAAATTCTTTTCTTATTTCTGTGTATAAATAAATTCAATACTTGATTTTTCTATAAGGTAAATGAAATGGAAATGAACTATTAATAAAAATTCATAGGTATTACTTAATATAATTTATATAGAAAGAAATATACTTTTCTTTCATTTTTACAAAAAAAAAGAAAGAAATATATTGTTTGGATAATTTTAAATTCTATCAATTAAAAAATCTCTTTGGGTTGATGGTCACTGGGGGTTTCCTCCTACTGCAAGGGGTCTCCAGAGCAGGTCCGAAATCACCTTGATGGGAAACTGATGGTCGTATTGTGTGATTAAAAGGGAGTTCCAAAGCACAAAACTCTTGTATGTTCCTTTGTAATCGTTTCCCAACGAGAGATCGGCTTATTTCTTGGCCTTCTTTTTCTAGACTAAGTATGAACCGTAGGATTTTGTCACTCCATGTTACTCCTGGGATTCAATCATTGCATGCTTCAACCGGGAACAAACCTGATTTGGTAAGCTTGCATCTATGAAATATATGGAGAAAACGTAATGAGAGAGATTTCACCGCGACGTCCCTGGTTTTGTTTGACCTAACGAGAGCAGCAAGCGACATTATGCAGCTATGATTTAATTTCGTTGATCTAATCTTAATGTCAGACAAATAAAAATTTGTGTTGTACTCTACTGTCAACACATATCCCAGACATGATCAGTTCCGGTCCGACATTTTCATTTTCTTATTAATGTTTTACTCTCGCTTAAAACTTTGCACCATTGTTATTCATGTAACTTTGTATAGTGTTTTATTTACAACTAAATTTTTTTATTAAAATCATCATGCCGTAAACAATCGGTTCTTTTGCCCATCTCCGGATCAGCCCTTCTCATGACACATATTAAACTGTACATAGAAGAATCCGTTTCATTTTTTTGAAATATCTCCTACTATAAAGTTCTTATTATTATTAGCAGGGTTGTAATATGTATTTTTAAGATAATAAACCAATCAGTTACCTGAGATTGTCAGGGCTTGAAAGAAGCTCATGATGAGCTCAAACCTTCTTTGAACAAAGCTCAAGACCTTTTTGCTTCACACCTTCCTTCTTACAACAATCTGTCTATAATAAAACTTAAAACATCTGAAGTTCATTGCCTACTGGTTTGTTAATAGTTAAAATATTCGTAAAGTAATCTTTTCATAGTAGTGAAAAAGTTGTAAGATTTAAAATTGAACAATAAACGTTCCAATATTACGAACGAATTGTTGATCTAGTGGTAAAAGAGTATCTAGTAAGCACCCCGCCACTCGGGCTTAATTTTCGTTGGGAAAGGTTATTTTAGCGTTGGATAATCGGGGTTCCAATCGGATTTCGGTTTGGGTTCATTCGGGTTTCGAGTTCATGAATTTTAGTCCCATTTGGTTATTATAAAAAATTGGTTCGGTGTCAGTTCGGGTCTTGTCGGTCCGGATCGGATTTAGTTACATGTATAAGATCCGATTGAACCCGCAATCTTTTCAGATACTAATCGGATTATTAGTTCTAAATATACTAATTTATTCATGATTAGATTTAATATATTTACAATCATTTCAAAACAATTGTATATTTAACTTTCTCAAACCTTATTGTTTTCCTTCAAAATATTGAAACTCATCTATCAATCATATGAGACTTCTCATTGATCTATACGTGACAACATTAAACATATCATGATTCATGACAAACCAAAATCTTGTCCGAATGAAAATCATATATTATGAAACAAAAAAAAATTAAAATTAACAATTAAACATAAAAAACACTATTTTTTTAAATACAACATTGTTTAAACTTCAAATCCAATACCAGATATAAAAGCATCAATATTAACCAAATAAAATTTTGTAATAAACAAAGTATTTGAGTTAATTATCTATTTAATAAATAATTCTTCTAAATACTAAATAATTTTTTTTTTTTGTTGAAATGTGAATACTATTAATCAACAAAAGGAAAAAAAAAATACTTACACCTAGAGCCTACATCTGCTAAGGAGCAGAGCAGCACAAAAAAGTGGAAACTGTACTTTTAAAAGAGAGCATAACAGACATTAAAAAAAACAGAGCAATGAAAAAGTAGCATTTTAAGTTATGAGATAGTGACTAGGAACCAAGAAGCTGCTGCATCAATCTTCTATGCGGTTGGGGCATTTGTTTAAGAAAAAGGGTTACATTTAGCTAGCAGTAGAAAGAGAAGTCACAGAGTTCTATCTCGTCGTTAGGTGACGTAAGAAATTGGAGACGATAACAAATATATGCATCAATTCTATATGTTATATTCAGGGGAGAGTGGATAGGCTTCTGATATTTCCTCACATTCCACTCTCTCCAGTTGGCATAGAAAGTTACCTGAAAAAATAACTTCACAAGAATTGCATCTGACCTTGAAACCCTATTCCGCCAGAGGCCGTGAGATTTGATTACTTAAAATCTTTGTGCATAAAATTGTCCAAACAGTGTAGAAGAATGGGCACAAAAAAAAAATAGATGATCTCTTGTCTCAAGAGGCTCTCCACATAAGGTACACGGATGACTACCTCCCCATATACGAGTTCTATCACCTATTGAGAGTCTGTTATGAATCACAATTCAGGTGATGAAAGATCCTCGGGGAATAGCTTGCGGAAACTAGACACTACAAGAAAACATGTCCTGAACGACTATAGATATAGAAGCTAATTAACTTCCAAAAACGAGTGGTAATTATTTCCGGATCGTAAATCTTTATTAGAGGCACATTGGTCATAATATTACGACTAAACACATTAGTCGTAACATTACGACTACACAGGCTGGTCGTAAGTTAGACGTAAATGTTTAGTCGTAATAATGACGTAAGTTACGTCTCCACATTAGTCGTCAGTTGGTCGTAAATTTACGACTAAACAACATCGAGATTAAAGGTAATTTGGTCGTATATTAACGACTACTTTACATCGACTGTAGATGTTCATTGGTCGTAAATTTGAGACCAATTTACGTCTTGATTAATATATTTACGAATTTTATATTTTAATTAAATTATAAATATTTAATTTTATAATTTAATTTTTAAAATTGGATAACTTCAAAAGAAAATGTCTAATCATCATCAATAAACATAATAATATCCATAATATAAAATATTCAAATTACAAATTAATTAAAACCGAAAAAACTAAGCATTAAGTTTTATTTTGTTGAAGAGATCAGAACTAGCCTGATCAGAACGTCGATCTAAATCCGCCTGCTCTTCCGGAGTGGGGCCGGGGTTAAAGGTCAGACGTAAAGCCTGCCACGTAGAGGCAACAGACAGATTTACGTTTGACGTTTTCTCTATCATTAGATCAAACATATTTACCATAGCCTTAAATTTGTCCTTGTGGTCGGCTATGACTAGGTTGGCAGCTGTCAAATCCCTCCAAAGAGAAGAATCTTCTTCCATTCTTGCAGCGTGTTCAGCTCTCGTCCTCGGGACATCGTTCACAGTCCCGATCCCAACTATACGTCCCCTTCTCTTGGGGACAACCTTCAATTAATGAATGAATATTAATTAATTAGTACATATGTAAAAACTAAATTAGAAATTAAAAAATGTATATAAACATAAATTTAAAAGATCGAATATGTTACCTGCTCAAAAAATTTGTCTTGTTTGATAGTGGAAAGCTGGACCAGTGCACCTTCCAGATTTTGTTGCGACAACTAAATCTGGACCTTCTGGATCCGAGCCTCTACATCGTTGTAGATCTTCTCTGCTTGAAGATGCGGAAAAGTTCCATCGGAATGCTGGTGTGTTGTCTTGTAAAGTTGGGCTGGAGATGGTGGTACTCCTTCTTTGGCAGTCTATATTACAAAAATCAAATTAATTAAACTCACACGTTCAATATTTTATAAAAATTAAGAAATATCAAAGACTTACAATTTGTAGTCCCCTCCCGGCGTTTGGCGTCTGTCCGGAGGTATGAGGTATTGGCGGATTACCTTCAGCATCACGAGTCATCTGGACAGAAGAGCACTTGAGAGACCTTTGTACTGATGCATGCAAATTCCAATAAGTCTTCAAGCCAATCAAAACTTCATTGACGACGTAGCTTTCTTTTGCGTCATCCCCCATAACCCTCCACTTTTCCTTCCAATCACTAACAATGTTCTTTAGGCGAGCCATCGCCTTTTTGTAGAACTCTTCCTTTACCTTTTCGGTGACACCAATGGACCAATTTCATTTTTTCTACAAAAAAAATCATGAATAAAAAAACCTTAATTAATTAATCAAATTATTAATTTTTAAATAAAAAATAAATAAAATTATATTTAAAACTAACTGCGAAGCACTTGAACCAAGTAACGTGAACATTGTCCGGTGTAAGAGACCAGTTCGGATGCACTTCCTGGAAGTTTGCCCCGATGATATCTCCAATGCTCTATCCCACAAAATTGTCCTTCAAAACCTACAAAATTTGAAAAATTACATATATTTTGACCAATATATATAATTAATTGTTATATATAAAATTAAAACTTAATTTAATTTATTAAAAATTAACTACCAAAATGTGCCGGATGGTCGATATGGATCGATGATTCGTAAACCTTCTCGTCTAGGCATCCATAGAATGTCTTCCACTGTATATTTTGCATATGGTGCATTTGGTGGCACCATCAAATCTGGATGAACAGCTGCAGGAGCCGGAGGCTGGTGTGGAG